TTTTTTTAAAAAAAGCTTTTCCAACTACACTAGGTTGTGGGCATTAGCATTGTTATGTACTCGATTGGACAACTAAACTAGGTTGTGGGCATTAGCATTGTTATGTACTCGATTGGACAACTAAACTAGGTTGTGGGCATTAGCATTGTTATGTACTCGATTGGACAACTAAACTAGGTTGTGGGCATTAGCATTGTTATGTACTCGATTGGACAACTAAACTAGGTTGTGGGCATTAGCATTGTTATGTACTCGATTGGACAACTAAACAAGGTTGTGGGCATTAGCATTGTTATGTACTCGATTGGACAACTAAACAAGGTTGTGGGCATTAGCATTGTTATGTGCTCGATTGGACAACTAAACTAGGTTGTGGGCATTAACATTGTTATGTACTCGATTTGACAACTAAACTAGGTTGTGGGCATTAACATTGTTATGTACTCGGTTGGACAACTAAACTAGGTTGTAGGCATTAGCATTGTTATGTGCTCGATTGGACAACTAAACTAGGTTGTGGGCATTAGCATTGTTATGTACTCGGACAACTAAACAAGGTTGTGGGCATTAGCATTGTTATGTACTCGGTTGACAACTAAACAAGGTTGTGGGCATTAGCATTGTTATGTGCTCGATTGGACAACTAAACTAGGTTGTGGGCATTAGCATTGTTATGTACTCGATTGGACAACTAAACAAGGTTGTGGGCATTAGCATTGTTATGTACTCGGTTGACAACTAAACAAGGTTGTGGGCATTAACATTGTTATGTACTCGATTGGACAACTAAACAAGGTTTTGGGCATTAGCATTGTTATGTGCTCGATTGGACAACTAAACTAGGTTGTGGGCATTAACATTGTTATGTACTCGGACAACTAAACTAGGTTGTGGGCATTAACATTGTTATGTACTCGATTTGACAACTAAACTAGGTTGTGGGCATTAACATTGTTATGTACTCGGTTGGACAACTAAACTAGGTTGTGGGCATTAGCATTGTTATGTACTCGATTGGACAACTAAACAAGGTTGTGGGCATTAGCATTGTTATGTACTCGGTTGACAACTAAACAAGGTTGTGGGCATTAGCATTGTTATGTACTCGATTGGACAACTAAACTAGGTTGTGGGCATTAACATTGTTATGTACTCGGTTGGACAACTAAACTAGGTTGTGGGCATTAGCATTGTTATGTGCTCGATTGGACAACTAAACTAGGTTGTGGGCATTAGCATTGTTATGTACTCGATTGGACAACTAAACAAGGTTGTGGGCATTAGCATTGTTATGTATTCGGTTGACAACTAAACAAGGTTGTGGGCATTAGCATTGTTATGTACTCGATTGGACAACTAAACAAGGTTGTGGGCATTAGCATTGTTATGTACTCGGACAACTAAACTAGGTTGTTGGCATTAGCATTGTTATGTACTCGGTTGGACAACTAAACTAGGTTGAGGTCATTAGCATTGTTATGTACTCTGACAACTAAACTAGGTTGTGGGCATTAGCATTGTTATGTACTCGGACAACTAAACTAGGTTGTGGGCATTAGCATTGTTACGTACTCGGTTGGACAACTAAACTAGGTTGTGGGCATTAGCATTGTTATGTACTCGGACAACTAAACTAGGTTGTGGGCATTAGCATTGTTATGTACTCGGTTGGACAACTAAACTAGGTTGTGGGCATTAGCATTGTTATGTACTCGGTTGGACAACTAAACTAGGTTGTGGGCATTAGCATTGTTTTGTACTCGGACAACTAAACTAGGTTGAGGTCATTAGCATTGTTATGTACTCGGACAACTAAACTAGGTTGTGGGCATTAGCATTGTTATGTACTCGGACAACTAAACTAGGTTGTGGGCATTAGCATTGTTATGTACTCGATTGGACAACTAAACTAGGTTGTGGGCATTAGCATTGTTATGTACTCTGACAACTAAACTAGGTTTTGGGCATTAGCATTGTTATGTACTCGATTGGACAACGAAACAAGGTTGTGGGCATTAGCATTGTTATGTACTCTGTTGGATAACTAAACTAGGTTGAGGGCATTAGCATTGTTATGTACTCGATTGGACAACTAAACTAGGTTGTGGGCATTAGCATTGTTATGTACTCGGTTGGACAACTAAACTATTTTGTGGGCATTAGCATTGTTATGTGCTCGATTGGACAACTAAACTAGGTTGTGGGCATTAGCATTGTTATGTACTCGGACAACTAAACTAGGTTGTGGGCATTAGCATTGTTATGTACTCGGTTGGACAACTACACTAGGTTGTGGGCATTAGCATTGTTATGTGCTCGATTGGACAACTAAACTAGGTTGTGGGCATTAGCATTGTTATGTACTCGGTTGGACAACTAAACTAGGTTGTGGGCATTAGCATTGTTATGTACTCGGACAACTAAACAAGGTTGTGGGTATTAGCATTGTTATGTGCTCGATTGGACAACTAAACTAGGTTGTGGGCATTAGCATTGTTATGTACTCGATTGGACAACTAAACTAGGTTGTGGGCATTAGCATTGTTATGTGCTCGATTGGACAACTAAACTAGGTTGTGGGTATTAGCATTGTTATGTACTCGATTGGACAACTAAACTAGGTTGTGGGCATTAGCATTGTTATGCACTCGATTGGACAACTAAACTAGGTTGTGGGCATTAGCATTGTTATGTACTCGGACAACTAACTAGGTTGTGGGCATTAGCATTGTTATGTACTCGATTGGACAACTAAACTAGGTTGTGGGCATTAGCATTGTTATGTACTCGATTGGACAACTAAACAAGGTTGTGGGCATTAGCATTGTTATGTACTCGATTGGACAACTAAACAAGGTTGTGGGTATTAGCATTGTTATGTACTCGATTGGACAACTAAACTAGGTTGTGGGCATTAGCATTGTTATGTACTCGATTGGACAACTAAACTAGGTTGTGGGCATTAGCATTGTTATGTACTCGGACAACTAAACAAGGTTGTGGGCATTAGCATTGTCATGTACTCGATTGGACCACTAAACAAGGTTGTGGGCATTAGCATTGTTATGTACTCGGACAACTAAACAAGGTTGTGGGCATTAGCATTGTTATGTACTCGATTGGACAACTAAACTAGGTTGAGGGCATTAGCATTGTTATGTACTCGATTGGACAACTAAACTAGGTTGAGGACATTAACATTGTTATGTACTCGATTGACAACTAAACTATATGTAGGATTAGCATTGTTATGTGCTCGATTGGACAACTAAACTAGGTTGTAGGCATTAGCATTGTTATGTACTCGATTGGACAACTAAACAAGGTTGTGGGCATTAGCATTGTTATGTACTCAGTTGGACGTGAGACAAAAAAGGTTTGGAACTTCTGATTGCTAGTATAATACGGTCTCGCCCGACTATCCACCCCCAGTGACTACGTCTAACGATCGGTTGATAGCTGATTTTCATTATTTAATCCTGAATGATACCCCCAACCGTTGCATACCCCAACCGTTGTAAAAATGCCAGTACATGGATGCAGCAACGAGACATTACCAGAACCAGACTACTCTTTGTTATCAAGGGCTACACCTGCCCCATAATAATCACAACGATGATGTTTCTCCATCCTCCAATAAGACTACCTATATTCTGCACGTCAGTATCTTTTCGGAGTGGCTATCATACCACTTTCTGATCTTTCATTTCCTCGTTACACAACTATCTCGCGCGGGCTCCATGAAAACAATCAAAACATAACTGTATTCTGTTGCAAAGCGTGTTAAAATGAGTTGCTACGGTTTATTCCCTATTCATACTGCAGTGTACTGTTATATGTATTCTGCTATGAACCCTGCCAATGACTTAAATTGGTAGTTAAAGATGAACTTACCGTAGTGGTCATTAACCTGTTGCAGGTTGCAGGCCACACTCAACCAAAGTTCAATATTGTTGGGGATTTGCTTTTTTCAAATTGTTCACAGTAATATCTTTAAACGAAATATTCATATCCAATCCATTGAACTAATTCTCATTTTAAAAAAAAACACGTTTGTCTATGCAATGGAGAGAAAAAACTTAGTTGTCTTTGATCCCAACATTAAGTTTTAGGTACTGGAGTTTGTGGACTCCTGTTCTGGATATTTTACATTGTTCAATACCCTGTTGGAATTCTATACCTTGTTGGAATTCTATACCTTGTTGGAATTCTATACTTTATAACCCAAAACTTTGTTATAAATTTATACTTTGTTGTAAGTTGATTCTTTGTTGCAACTGTATACTTTCTTAAGACTGTCTGTTTTGTTAGGACTCTACCTTTTTAGGGCTCTTTGCATCAACACACTTTAGAAAAAGAAGCTAATTCAAACTAATTGAGTTTGAAGTATAATATAAAATATGTACTTTCCCCCCAGTTTATCAGCTGATATTTTTCTTACATGATTGTAAGCTAATTCAAACTAATTGAGTTTGAAGTATAATATAAAATATGTACTTTCCCCCCAGTTTATCAGCTGATATTTTTCTTACATGATTGTAAGCTAATTCAAACTAATTGAGTTTGATGTTTAATATAAAATATTTCCCCCTCCCTTCCTCCTCCCTCCCTCCTCCCCCCTTCCCCATTCCTCTTACCATCCCCCCCGTTTATCAGCTTATTTTTTTCTTACATGATTGTCGTGTCAGCTTTAATGAATTTAATCTGTCAGTTTCAATCATTGCAAGAGAGACTACTATAATTAATGTGATGGGCAGCTTCAATAATGTCACACATTTAAATTGTTGAACTTGTACTTTCACTACTATGATCATAACAGACGGATCACTCAGTGAAACCTGTAACACTTAGGGAGACCATCCATAAATCAATTGAGATTAGAAGGAACTGAGTTCTTTCTTATGAGGAATTGAGTTTATAGCAGATATGTGCTGCAAATCAAGAAACAGCCATCCAGTTGTTGTTGGTTATTTTAAAAAAAGGCAACTTATATGTATAATTTTGCATTGTTTTTATTATTTTAACATTATTAACAACCCTTTGGAAGAATATTCAAAATTTAACAACCAGCATGGTAGAATAGTATAAATTTAACAACCAGCATGACAGAATAGTATAAATTTTACAACCAGCATGGCAAAATAGTATAAATTTTACAACCAGTCTGCCCAAACTGGTCCTGCTTTAACACATGACTGATTTAAATGTCAATGATTAAATCTTATGAAAGAATTTCAGGATTATTTCACAGCCTATTGGTATATGGTTTTTATCTCATTTAAATTCTTTTTTTTTTTTTTAAAGCATCAAAATGTGCCCCATTTCTGTATTGTGATGTCGGTATAGGAACACTTCTCTCGGTCTGAATGTTTTTATTTAAAAAATATAATTATATAAGTCATATCAATTTAAATATTTAAATGTATTGTAATTTAATTTGATAAATCAACAATAGTAATACATTTTTGGTTGATAAACACTGACTAATGATCATAATGAGATTGTTGAAAACATAAGTCCATCACATGGTTTCGAACCTACTCAGGGTAGAGAAAGGGTTCCTAACCAGGAGTGCTCTAATGATCATAATGAGATTGTTGAAAACATTAGTCCATCACATGTTTTCGAACCCACTCAGGTTAGAGAAAAGGTTCCTAACCAGGAGTGCTCTAATGATCATAATGAGATTGCTGAAAACACTAGTCCATTATTCCATTGTGTTACTGTTTTTAACCATCTTCTCCAATGACCTGGACAAAACTGACTGACCGACAGGCATTTCTTAGATTTGCTCTAATTTGATGATTTGGCTACACTTAAGATTCCATTTGAACTTCAGATTTCTGTTCATGTCATATCCCATTTCCACCAGCTGCTTGTAAGTGATGTTTTTATAGCAGTACCTATTTGTTTGTAAGAAGACCAAAGCTTCTATGGAGATTTCATCGTCGGCATGCGTCGAACTGACTATACAGTTTGGAAACTCCCAAAGTTTTGAATAACCATTGCCTCCAGATAATTGAGCCGATATGTAACCTGCGCCACTGATGTATACGGGTAGTTTAAAACTTGTCTCGTTTTCCTTCAGTGAAAGGAGTGCAGTCACAGCGAGACGTCCATGTTTGGCCAGCCTCAGACGAAGTCGAACCTTGCATGGCAGCCCCAAGATGTAATACAACTCAGTGTAGAAGTCTCCCTTGTAGTCGTAAAATGGGTGTGTCGATGGAATGCTGAAACTGGCTCCCTCTGCTGGCATGACGTGTACTCTAGGCTGCAGGAGAACTTGGACCTCGCCAGTTTCTGTTTGATCAGATCTACCAACAGTATCTTTGACTTCAGCTTTTTTATCAACTCTAAGCTTTGTAATTGTGCTATTGGCATGCTTTGTATTGTTTCTTACAATTCGAGAATTGAAACAAGCGGTGGAGGCTGATGTAGAAGTCACAGTAAGACTGGCGTTTGCTGCAGCATTTTGAGAATTTATGTTTAAAGATGTAGAATCGGAAGGGGGCGCACTCGAAGGTTCACCATGTTTCTCTGTGGATGCTGAAGGCACTGTAAGACCAGTTTTTGTTGGTGCGATTTGAAAAGTCATGGTTATAGCTGTATATTCAGAAGGCGGCACACTAGAAGGTACACCAAGTTTCTCTGAGGATGCTGAAGGCACAATAAGACCCATATTTGCTTCTACATTTGGAGAATTCATGGTAGTAGCTGTATATTCAGAAGGCAGCACACCAGAAGGTACATCATGTTTCTCTGGCTTATTTTGATTGGGGTTGTCAGCAACTTCATTAATCATTACACCATTAATACTTCTTAAATCACTGTCTATGTTACATTGATTAGCAAAAGCTGATTTGTTACTTCTACTCTCAGACACTAAAATGTGATCATTCAACATTGATATTTGACTAGCGTGTTCTCCATTGGAACAACTTTGTTTGTTATTTGCTGTATTTTTAGCATTTGATTTGGCTGAAATTTTCCTCTGGTCATTATTACTAATTTCATTAAATCTGTCTTTAACTTTTCTGTGTGTGGAATTTTCTACCTGTAAGATATCACACTTGTCTTCATCTATCTTATGAGGCATTACTGACTTTACACCAAGGGATTCTAATGGTGTGGATGAACACTTGACATGGTTATTGCTTAAAGTTTTCAGTGCTGTCTCTATTTTCTCCTTCATGTTCACAATGGGATCCAACTTCAATGACAAGCTCTGCAGGTCCGTGGCCGTATCCGACCTCAATATGTCAAGGTCAGATCGCATGGCCACAATGGAAGTCATGACGGTCTGCAGACCATGTTCCTGCTGGTCTTTGAGCGAAGCTGAAGTGGTCTCTAGAATCTGTTGACTTTGACTGAGGTCAGACCTCAGGCGACATAGCTCAGATTTAAGCTCCACGAGGCTTGACTTGAGCTCTTCTATCTCATTGGCTTGCTGAGCTAAACTTTCAGATAGTTTAAGGTCATCTTCCTGGCTGTTGTTGACTGTATTACCTGATGCCTAAGGGGAGGAAGGTAAAAAAATACTTGTTACGATCGTCATGACATTTTCTTTATTTCTAAATAGGGCATCTCCCACAAAACAACATTCTAATTACTAGTATTATTGTGACATCACCCAACATCACTCTTCTAATTACTAGTAGTGTTGTGACATCACCGAACATCACTCTTCTAATTACTAGTAGTGTTGTGAAATCACCCAACATCACTCTTCTAATTACTAGTATTATTGTGACATCACCCAACATCACTCTTCTAATTACTAGTAGTGTTGTGACATCACCGAACATCACTCTTCTAATTACTAGTAATGTTGTGACATCACCCAACATCACTCTTCTAATTATTAGTAGTGTTGTGACATCACCCCACGTCACCCTTCTAATTACTTTTTATCTTACGGAAATCTTTCTCACACCACTGTTCTTGCTACGCTACTAGTATTGTTGTATCTCCCACACAACACCCTTCCTATTTTTTGTAATGTTATGACATCTCGCGTACAACACCATTCTGCCCCTACTCCCGCCCCACCCCTTTTTATGTACACAGAATTGGAAACAATTCCGAGGACACACTCAACACACACGCACTCAAAGGTACACAGACATTCATACACTCCACTCACAAACACTCACACTTACACATACATTCACACACATACGCACACACTTAAACACTTACACACACACAAACACACACATCCAGGGAGAGACACCTAAAGGGTGAATTAAATTCCATTACAATGGGTAAAGCTTGTATCGTTTTATCACCAATGCAGACTTTGGCCTACCTTGACTTGTCAACACGCAAATCATTTCCTCTTACATCTTAGAGGTACAAGTAACTATTCTAAATATGCACGCAAACAACAGCTTTTGATAATGGCTAGTTCTGTTTTCGGTCAAGGGGTATAGCCATTGTCTTATGTTACTTAGACACGATTTGTGTCACATGCAGCCTATAACAATACAAAATCATATTTATAACGCAACCAAAAGTTATTTTTTAACATAAAGGTTTAAAAAAAAACAACTAATAATTAAAACAAACCCAATCCTTAACTCTCACAAGTAAACCCCCACCCCCCCCCCAACCCTACTCTCCGTCGCGTGACTATTGGAGGCTCCCTTGCCGTTTTTAGGCAGTCAGAGTTTATAGTTACATTATTTCCAGATCACAACTTTGGGGCCCTTAAAAATTTGAAGTAGCTTCAAAAAAAAAAAAAAAAAGTTAGTATGAAAATCTGAGGGTCAAAAGGCCGCCTTAAGTAATAATAGGCTGCTTACGTCCAGATTAGGAACCATCGTTGAAATTTAAAGAACGAAGAGTAGTCCGGACAATGGCACTAGCTTTTATATTTAAGACATCGTTTTATTTTTCAGTTAGTTAAGCCACGCCCATTATCATTAACTAGGTCAATCTACCAAGACATTAATGCAAGTCAATGTCATGATGCTAGAGGAGTATTCCAGGGGAAAACATTTAAACAAATGCCAGATCACTCCAATTACTTTTATATAATATTTCTAGGTCATGTTTTTTTTTTGGTACTTGTTTATAAAGCGTAGTAATACAACTCCAGCTGAAGACTGAATATCGTCTGTTATGGTCAGTTTTTAAATAAAAAAGTCACGCCCACTAATTGGTGTTGCTGGCTGAGATTTAAGTGGATCAATGTGTACGGCATCCGGTACGACCACGTCTCTGCATCTAGCAAACTGACAGTGTAAGAGGGTCGTGTACTGACAGACAGTGCATGATGATGATGTTGATGGTTTTGTTTGACAAGACCGAATGAGCCCCTTCCTACCTGCGTTTCCGTCAGTGAGAATAGATTACGGACCTGCTGACATAATATTTTCACGTCCATCTCCTTGTTCCAGATGTAGAGAAACTCCTCCCTTGTGATACCCAGGCCCTCTGCCTCCCCCAGGCTTCCCAAGAACTCCATTATGCTGCACCGGCCGACAACAGGCAAGGCGCACACACACACTTACATCCCTGTTTATACTACTACTACTAATAACGTGTCTCAGGATACGATAAGAACACACGCTTCATGCCCCGTTTGTTGTTGCAATGACACGGCTGGCGTCCCGACTTCAGTGCCTAGGCCTTACCTCAGTGTGCTGTGTACTACAGTACATCTCGCCTTAACACGAATTGATAAGCACAGATCAATAAAACATTGTTATGAAACCCATCCTTTTGCATCAATAGCGCAAACTCAGTTGTCGGTTTTACATTCAGGAAATGTAATTTTTTTTTTTTTTGGTTTTAAAACCCATCCCAAAATATTTCGAGTTGTCCAGATGTGTGTGTGTGTGTGTGGATTGGTGGGTGTGTGAGTGATTTTTTAAAAAAAAGTGGAGGGGGACACCCCTTAACTCATGTCTCAACAAAATAGGAGCGTTGGGGGCATTGGTGTCGTTAGGGTTAGTGGCCCCTTTGGCGGGACAAGATTTTTTGCCACCCTCTCTACGAAACAACCCCCTCAGGAATTGGCAGAAACTTTTCCACAAATTGTTCGAAAATTTTGACTCAAATTAAATTATTTAAGATCAAGATTGGTATAAATATGACGTAAGAACAGTCAATACTAATAAATGTGAAATGCTGTGATTATGAGAGTTGTTGCCAGCCGATTCGTTACGTGGCTCGTATTTTGAAATAGTCACCGATAGGTTGAGTCCATCACTTACTCCAGTCTGTTAAACTAGGGAAGGACTTACCCCACCAGATGCATCGGGGGTTGGGGGGGGGGCACTTGCACATACTTCCCATCTCTTTTCCTCCAATCGGTCTTTCATCTAGTTGATAGAACGTTACCTCGTCCCACCAAGACATTCCCAATTCTTCAATTGGATCTATGTGATACCCCATTTCAACATAGTGGCTCGTATTTTGAAATAGTCACCGATAGGTTGAGTCCATCACTTACTCCCGTCTGTTAAACTAGGGAAGGACTTACCCCACCAGATGCATCGGGGGTTGGGGGGGGGGGCACTTGCACATACTTCCCATCTCTTTTCCTCCAATCGGTCTTTCATCTAGTTGATAGCACGTTACCTCGTCCCACAAAGACATTCCCAATTCTTCCATTGGATCTATGTGATACCCCATTTCAACATGTTCGACAGCACCGACATAAAGATCTGGAGCATTAGAAATGACCACCAAACTTGAAGAAAGACTGCCCTTTAAAGATACATCAAACAAAGATTGTCTTTAATGGGTTATTTCTTTGGCTAATCAAGCTCAAAGAGACAACATCTTAAAGTGTTCATTGTGTTTGCTTTACCAACTCCGAGCTCCAACCCAAGAGCTCTTGAAATGCTCTCAGATCCGCTCTCACAATTTGTTTTAGTTAGTCATCTGATTGTTCAATTGTCACACTTGCTTGTTGTGCGTTGTAACAGACCATGTTTGCACACGAAACCATTAAGTCAGGGAGGTGGCAGGAGTTCAATACTGAACTCTGTTAACTCTTATTTTTCACGGGAAAAGAGAGTGAATTATATTTTGTACGGCGGAAGTGAGCAGCACGTTTTCGGGTGATCAGGGCCATTACCTCTTGGAGTCAAGGAGAAGATAGGACGTATAACTTTGTGTCATGTGAATTTATCTTTGCTGTGGAATATTATGTGTGCATAAGACATTTGCATTCTGGATTTTATTACCTGGATATTTGTGGAAGGATTTTTATTATTGTTGTAGAAAAGTGATATAATAAAGTGCCGTGAATTTAACTGGAAAGTGATATCTACTTCTTGTGTGACAGACTGACAGAGTTTAGGAGTGAAGTAAGCATTACATTACACAAGCCGGCATCCTGAAGGCACAAGATAGAAGTAAAGCAGTTAACCATGCTACTAATACAAACAACGCACTAAAAACAGCATGTGTTACAATGGTGTCGGTTAAGGAAACCAAGCCCACAGTAATATCCACCCCAGAAATAGTTAAATTACGAAACGAAATACGAGACAAAATTCGCGAAGCCTACGATTTCAAAAAAGGCTATTTTAGAGCTGATGTTAAATCGACTAACCACCCGAACGTTACCGGAAGAACACATTGAAGTTATGTGGCCTACACACAGTGAATACACAACACAGCTAGTATTGAATTGTCGTAAACAGTCAATATTGATGGATTCTCTTTACGATGTTTGTAAGTGTGGCCAAGAATTATTATAATAAGCCTACACTGATTTACCTTTATGACGAAGGAAAAGTATTGCATACTGAAGAAAGCTGAACAAGAGATCACGCTTACGGAAGATCTACCAGGCGCACAGGGACAGAGCAAGCCAAGGGGCAGATACAGAGTTGTTATGAAGAGTGAGTTGTGTATCAAGTCATCTTAAAACATAAGTGCACAATTCCCCAACACATTGTGTCACTAAGAAGCACAGTTTAACGCAGAAGTGTGCTTCACTATTTACTACTATTGACGGATTCTCCTCACAATTAAAAGCTGAGACGATTGAACACTACACATACTAGACAAATTAAGATCACATGGAGTAACAATTGCACCAAACAAATTGAAATTTGCACTCTAAGAAATATAATTTTTAGGATTCAAAGTTAGTAAGAACACAATTCAGCCCACAGAACAAAACAGAGGAAAAATATTGAACATAAAAACACCACACACTCAAAAAGAAGTCAAAGCCATATTGGGTTTGGGCAATTTTTATAGCACTTTTGTACCAAAGTTCTCTGATATAACATTACCTTTAAGGAAATTAATCAACAAAAATACCAAGAAACAAATAGTATGGACAGATGAATGTGAGAATACATTAAAAACAATCAGAGAAATTTTCCAAAGTAAAAACATATTGTTATCACCCAACTTTAATCAATCTTTCACTTTAGTGACAGATGCTTCCAACGTTGGATTAGGAGCTTGCCTTATGCAAGAATTCAATAATAAACTGAGACCAATCACTTATTTAAGTAGAGCACTAAGTAAAACTGAGATTAATTATTGGACCATTGAGAAAGAATGCCTAGCAGTTGTGTGAGGACTGACAAAATTACAAAAATCTTTATTAGGTAGAAAATGTATCCCATTAACTGATCACAAGCCACTGATTGCACTAAATAGAAAGGAGATAGCAAACAACAAAATAAACAGATGGTCCTTGATTCTACTAGATTATCAGAATGAAATAAGGAAAGTAAAAGGCAAAGACAACACAGTAGTTGATTTCCTTTCAAGACATATTGAGCATACAGACACTGACAAAGACGCTGAACTAAGACACTTAAGTCAAACGCTCTAAATGAATGTATACAAATACAATGATTCATTTTTAGAAATCATATGTGTGTATTAATTTTGTAAATCAAAATATTTTCTCCAATTGAAATTTTGTGATTCAAGATTTAAGGTTGTTATATTTGTTTCGCAGTGATTATTAATCATTAAGATGTCACTTCGCATTCTCATTCAGTAGGAATTTTAATAAAAGTTGTCATTACTGATTTGGTATCTTTTTGTCAGGAATATATTGATCACTCTTATGCAATACCAAATTTGTGATATTAACATTCAAAAGTACCATAATGATGAAATTTTGCTATTTAAAATATATTTGATTAACACATTTGATATTGATATTGTGTTAAGAGATATTAACATTTTTTCAACTTTATTGAGATCTCATAACATGAACACAAAATTAAAAAGTAGAATGTGTAGGCATGGGTTCAAATCCCACTTCTGTAATTCTTGCAAGGTTGCAAATATTGTAAACACTTAGGATGTGTATTATTGTTCATGAAATGTGAGCAAGAATTCATGAGCATTTTAGATGAATCATTTTACCAAATTGACATTTGAGAAATCATCTTTTCATTGATTGATTTAATAAATATTTAATATATGAATAATATGTTCTATGTTGTGACATATTTTCTTAAGATAGAATTGTCTTACAACTTTAGAATATAAAGATTTGGATACTATGTTAATAATAATAACTACTCAATTATATGATAGATATTGAATGATTAAGACATTTTGATGCAATAACATTGAATAATTTTGATTGTCACACACCCATCTTTGCATTTAATGACAATTTTTTTGAGTTTATTTCATGCTGATTCTCCTCCTATAAACCGATAAACGTACATGGGTTTCCTTGTAAAAATGTCTGGTGTGGGTGGATGAATATACCTCTGGTGTTGTTTTGCTTATATGTTGTTTTTATTTCATTTATGTATTTTATTTTAATATTATGATTATGCCTCTTTGCTATATATGTACAGCGCGGTGAGCCCAGCCCTAGGCCGGGGTACCGCGCTATATAAGACCACTTATTATTATTTATTATTATTATGCTGTACTATTAATTTTTACATGTACATTTTTGCAAAAAAAATTTTGGATTGGGTAGGGTGTGTAACAGACCACGTTTGCACATGAAACCATTAAGTCAGGGAGGTGGCAGGAGTTCAATACTCCTATTTTTCACGGGAAAAGAGAGTGAATTATATTTTGTACGGCGGAAGTGAGCCGCACGTTTTCGGGTGATCCTCTTGGAGTCGAGGAGAAAATAGGACATATAACTTGGTGTCATGTGAATTTATCTTTGCTGTGGAATATTATGTGTGCATAAGACATTTGCATTCTGGATTTTATTACCTGGATATTTGTGGAAGGATTTTTATTATTGTTGTAGAAAATTGATATAATAAAGTGCTGTGAATTTAACTGGAAATTGATATCTACTTCTTGTGTGACAGACTGACAGCGTTTAGGAGTGAAAGAGTGAAGTAAGCATTACATTACACAAGCCGGCATCCTGAAGGCACAAGATAGAAGTAAAGCAGTTAACCATGCTACTAATACAACGCACTAAAAACAGCATGTGTTACATGCGTATTTCTCTTTAACTTTAATCTGTAATCTCTCCAAAAAAAAAAAAAAGGTCTAACGCAGTGGCTCTCAACCTACATAATGATGCCACCCTTTAATACGGTTCCTCATGTTGTGGTGACCCCCAACCATATAATTATTTTCGTTGCTACTTCATAAATATG